CCCGGGTCCTCTGCAAGAGCAGTCAGTGCTCTTAACTGCTGAGCTCTCTCTCTCCAGCCCCTGCTTTATTTATTTTTATTTTATGTCTATGAGCGCTTGTCTGTTTGTACTTAAGTGTACCCTGTGTGTTCAGTGTTTTTGGAGGCCAGAAGAGGTTGTCAGATCTCCTGGAATGGAAGTCACAGAAAGTTGTTCACTATCATATGGGTGCTGGGAACTGAACCCAGGTCCTCTGCAAGAGCAACCGGTGCTCTCAGCTACTGAGCCATCTCTCCAGCCTCCTAGACAGTGTCTTTCTTATGCTGTAGGTAGCAAAGTCAAACTGATAGTGTTTTGCTAGCTTTTGAAGTCCGTATCAGTACTTGAGGGACACCTTATGTTTCTCTGTTGTTTTAAGTCTATAATATCTTCTTTAGATTCATAGTCTAAAAAATGCCACTAACATTGTGATATCAACAGGTTTTAAAAATAACACACCTGTTTTGTTAGCTTTATTTCCATTTTGTTTAGGTCATTGTTTTACCCCATTTTGACTGATAACAAAAAGGAATATTCTAAAATATAACAAACCTCATCTTACATAGAGATGTCAAAGTAAAACAAATATGACTAGTGTAAATAGTTTCTGATAACTGCTAAGTCTTGTGTTTATTTTACATGGTATAGCTTTTCTCCAAAAAATTTATAGTTACTATCTAGATAAAATCAAACCAAAAATCACATCACTCAAAATAGTTCTCTTTTTGGTACAGTACCTGTTAATTTGGTTTCTCCAGTTATATTTAAATACATTGAATATATTAATACAAAGTTTTCTACATGCCATTAAAATCTGTCTTTGAAAAAATTTCTAGCACTGACAAAAGCTTATTTGTTAATCCATTGAATGTGAATTAGTGGTTTAGCTGAGTTTTAAACCATCTCATTAAATCATTCATCATAATTCACCAGGGTACTTTTTATTTTGAGAAGTCTTTTAATATTCATTTTATTTTATGTATTTATTTTGTTTTTGTTGCTGTTTTCACTGTTTCCCTATACCTCCAGCTACCCTAGAACTCCTTATGTAGACCAGGCTGGCCTGGAAATCAAAGCGATCCACCTGCCTTTTCCTCCTAAGAGCTGAGATTAAAGGGCTTGTACCACTATACCACACTGAAAAAAATTTTTTTTAATTTGGTTTATGTGTACGAGTATTTTGCCTGCCTGTCTGTAAATTCACCTGTATGTGTAATGTCTCAGGAGGCCCAAAGAGGGCATTGGATCCTCTAGAAGTATGTAGTTATGAACAGTTGTTAGCCGCCATTTGGGTGCTGGGAACTAAATGAACCTGGGTCCTTTATGAAAGCAGTCAGTGCTCTTAACTATTGAGCCATCTCTTCAGGTCTATTTCGAAGAATCTTTGACTTCAGTTTTTTGCTCTTTTTGGCGGGGGGGGGGGTGTCTTTTTGAAACAGGGTCTCCCTCTAGCACCAGATGGCCTGGAACTCACTGTGTAGAACAAGCTGGCTGTGAACTCACAGAGATCTGCCTACCTCTGCCCCTAAGTGCTGGAACTAAAGACATGCACCACTTTTTAAATAACCGTATTTTAGTTATAAAATATACTAAATGGTGCTTCAAGTTTATGTTAGCTTAAAATCTTTTATTTTTTAAATCTATGTATGTGTATATCTGCCATGTGTCTGTGTGTGTGTTCACCAAGGCCAGAAGAGGGCATCAGATCTACTGGACCTCAAGTTACAGGTACTTGTGAGCCACCTAATGTGGGTGCTCAGAACCAAACATGAGTCCTGGAATGACAACAAACTCTCTTAACCACTGAGCCATCTCCAGCTCCTATGATGGCTCTTAACAATGTATGTTCTCCTTAGAAAATAATCTGCAGCATCATATGTTATTTTTATCCTTGCAAAACTTTTGAGACAGTCTCAGTATGTGATCCAAGTTGGCCTCAACTGCTTGTATTACACGAAGTGGTCTTGAATAAAAATTCTGCTATCTCACTCTCCTGAGTGCTGAGATAACAGGTACAGGACAAGACACTTGAAGACAAAGTCTTTCGGACTCTATTGCTACTTAGATGAAAAGAAAAGAAAGAAAGAATAAGAAAAATTCATACTCAGACTTGTGGAAAGTTTCCTATAACATTTTCTACTTCAATCTACATAGTTCTTGGTTTTTTTTGGGGGGGGTTCTTTTTGAGACAGGGTCTTTCTCTAGCCCCAACTGCCATTCTATATATTTCTTTATTTGTGTTTCTTCTGTTATTCTTGGTAATCCTTTGATTCTTGAGTCAAAGCACTAGGTATATTTCAGAGTACATGCTTGCTAATTGTATCCTTTAATGTATTGCTGTTGTATGTCTTGTCTTAGTTATTTGCCTGCAATTTTTTTCTTTGTTTTGAGACTGGGTCTCACTGTATAGCTCTGGCAGACCTGAAACTCATTATGTAGACCAGACTGGCACCAGACTCACGGAGATATGTCACCCTCTGCCTCCTGAGTGCCTGGACTAAAAGCATGCGTGACTATCTCCAACCCTTTTCCTGAATTTTTGTTTTGTTACTCATAAGGATCTCTTTTTCATAGTTGATTTAAAAATATTGGTTGTGTGGTCACTTCGGTAGCACATATACTAAAAATTGAAACTATACAGAGAAGATGTAGCCCCTGTGCAAGGATGTCATGCAAATTCGAGAAATGTTTCATATTTTTAAGTGCACAACTTAAAAGAAAATATATATTGATTGTTACTATTTATTTTCTGTGTACATCAAATGGCCTTTGGATATGGTTTCGACTTTGAAATTCCTCAAACTTAGAAATGATTCCTCAATTTTTTTATGACTATTTCCCTCAAATCAATTTTTTAGTAATATAATGATGTGTTTATATTATATGAACTTAACAATTCTAGGCCTATTACATGACTCATTTTATATAATACTTTTTTTTTTTTTTTT